AAAGAAGGCATTCAGTAGCTCTGCCTTCTCTGCATCCTCCATCACCAGGACACCCACCTCATTCAGCAGCAGCCCCACATTGTCCCTAGCCTTCCTTTTGCTGTTGATGTAGCTGAAGAAGCCCTTCTTGTTGTTTTTGACATCCCTTGCCAGCTTCAATTCCAGGTGGGCTTTGGCCTTCCTCGTCGCATCCCTGCACGCTCTGACCACATTCCTGTACTCTTCCCAAGTGGCCTGCCCCTCTTCTCTGTATGAAACAGAGGCTGCTAGAAATTTACTCAAAGTTTCTTGCCTATTGATTATGGTTGGTGAAGCCACAGTAATGGAGGGAGGCACCGAGGCTCAGATGGGTCTGACAAATGTCTGTCAGGAAGGGTTTAGGTCTAACAAATTCGCATGATGAAGGGCCATCCTTGGACAGCTGCTACACTGCTTGCCTTCAGTGTTTTAAATATCACAATCTGTACCTAAGCTTAACTCCCACAAAATTTAGCACACCCATGCCTGTAGGATGAACCAGTGGAGAAGAGCACTAGAGGTGATACTGTACGTCCCACTGACAACACAGTCCTTCACACTAGAACTTTTCCCCTGCCCAGGCAGTTTTGAGCCCAGTCCTCTCTGCAACGCTCACGCAAGTGTATTGTACCCTGCAATAAGACATGGGCTCCGCAAACAGCCACATGCCTAAGCAGAGGCAGCCCTTGCGGACAAAAACGGTAGCTGAAGATTTGCTACATGTCTTAACAACAGTCGTGTCCAAATTTCCTGTAATTCTGTTTGCTGTGCTTCACTCGCTTTCGGTGTCTATCCCATACTGTGTCCTAGAGCTGGGTCCAGGAAACGTGACGTTGCGCTAACTGAATCAAAACAATTTTCCACAGCAGTATGCTGATTTATTCTGGGCACACAGAGCCAGGCAGAGATTTCCTGCTGCTTCAGCCCTCTCATACAAGCCTTCAGCGAGAAACCAGAATTCAAATCTGTGACAAAAACGCATCAATGCAGGCTGTAAGTTTCTGTCAAATGGTATTTATCCTTGTCCCAAGCAAACTCAGGCTCATCCCAACTGCATCTTTTAAACGCTTACAATCTTGACGCCAGTAGTACTGCTTTATCCTGGCCCTGACCTGCATTTCTGACTCAGTTCCAGTCTGCTGCTATACATGGGCTAGAAGGGGCCTCCATATTAGGACAGGTCTGGAGTTCACCACGAGCAGTGTCTGTGATAACACTAACTGGTTCTGAACAGCAGCAAACAAAGCAATGAGATGAGTAGTGCAACCATATCGCAAAGGAATAGTGTGTTCTTAAATATAACTAATCTATTTCTTGCCCACTGAAGTATCTTGAACCCTGCCAGCCCCATATGGTTGTGACAATTGCACAAGTTTCCCCAGCTGTAGTTTGTATATTTTTTACGAGTATCACACAACATGACTTGATAAACTAGACTCGTCCTCCAGAATGAATGACGCATAGAATAAAAGACAAGATTTGATGTCATATTGTGACAGCATTGCCCAGCTTCCTGATGATCACAATGTGATGCTCCTGCAGCCACTGACTCAGACCAGACGGCAACTAAACCTTATGCTAAGTGATCGAAAACTGGGCACCAGATACGATCAACTGACTGACAGACGCCAGTAAGGCAGCACTGTATTACACTGCTTGCTTTCATCACCACTCCCTCCTCCATTGCCACACGCCACTCACGAAGGTCAGAGTCAGACCCGCAATCATTTTAACAGCACTTCCTAAACTTCATGAGTAGAAAGGTGATCCATGAGGCAGCCACAGTGCAGTGCAGCAAGAGCTAGTTTTGCTTTAAAGAAACCAGCTGGCATGCTAGCAGCAGGCTAGTTGCATGGAATTAATCTTTCCATTAGTGTAGACATGCTGAGTTCACCACAATTTCAGCCATGTTTGTTGCATGCGTGTTCCCCTCTACTCTGCCCTAGTGAGGCCCCATCTGCAGTACTGTGTCCAGTTCTGGGCTCCCCACTTCAAGAAAGATTAGGAGCTACTAGAGAGAGTCCAGTGCAGGGCTACGAGGATGGTGAGGGAACTGGAGCATTTCTCCTACGAGGAGAGGCTGAGGGAGCTGGGCTTGTTCAGCCTGAAGAAGAGAAGGCTGAGAGGGGACCTTGTAAATGCCTACAAATATCTGAAGGGTGGGTGTCAGGAGGACAGGGCCAAACTCTTTTCAGTGGTGCCCAGCGACAGGACAAGGGGCAACGGGCACAAACTGAAGCACAGGAAGTTCCAGCTGAACATGAGGAAGAACTTCTTCCCTCTGAGGGTGATGGAGCACTGGAACAGGTTGCCCAGGGAGGCTGTGGAGTCTCTTTCTTGGGAGATATTCAAGACCCGCCTGGACAAGGTCCTGTGCAGCCTTCTCTGGGTGACCCTGCTTTGGCAGGGGGGGTGGACTAGATGATCCACAGAGGACCCTTCCAACCCCTAACATTCTGTGACTCTGTGATTCTGTGTGAACCATTAATAAGCTGCAGCTTTGGTTCAAGAACCGGGGCTCTGGTGGTACCAGGTACAATCTTAGAAAATTGTATTGACAGCAGTAAACTACGAACACTTACAGGAACCCTGCAGAGGGAAGCGGGCTCTCCAGGTACCAACCTTGATCTGAGGAGCACTTGTTGGTCGTCGTCCAGCACTACCTCTGTGTGTCTTGTACCTCCGTTCGCAATCCACACTCCTGCGGCAGTGCTGTCCACGAGAAGCAGCAGCTGGATGGATAAATCTATCAGCCTCGTTTGACTGGCCGGACATCTTCAAGCGAACCGGTTTTAACAGACTGAATGCTTTGCTCATGAACATAACTGCTGAGGTACCAGACGCCTTGCCCAGTGCGCTACATGCGACACCTGTCAGGGACATGACAGTTCTGGTTCTGGACTAGTGTCACCTCCAGTATCGCTAACTCGCCTATTTTGTGTGTTTTGTCCCCAAAGCTGTCTCTCGTCTCTCCTCACCTCACCTCTTCTATTTACACGAGATTACTGCTTCCATGTACGCATACAGCTATAGCCACAGTGAAACACCGCCGTGAGGTCTGCGACTTGGCCCTGCTCCGTGTGTGGCAGAGCAGGCTTCGCAAACACGGCTCAGGGCGGGCGCGGCCAGGGGAAGGGGCCGCACCCACGCACCAGCC